AGTGCCGAAGAGGAGGAATACAAATCGACAGAGACGACCTACGACGAAGATTGGGGCAACAACCTGAGTATTACGAATTAAGTTCCGATGACGAAGAAGAAGAACCGGGAGAACAAACTGCAACAATAAGGAACAACAGCGAGGAACCAACACCCATACAAGGGTCGACCCGACGAAAACGACGTCGCCGAGGGGAATAACCCGAGGCTGGGACCAAACAGAAGGAGCACACACAAAGCGCACACAAGGCGCACACACACACAAAAAAATTGGATTCGGAGAGCAATGTTAATGACCTACTCTCGCGGCCGCCGAATCAACACCGGCGCATGGGAAGCCTTGAAGTTCGAAGTGACCACGATGGTTGACGGTACAGCCTGCCTTGGCAAGTCAACCCTACTGCAAGGCCTCAAGGATGAAGGGTACGCAGTGGTGGTAGGGGATTACTGCGAGGATTGTAAGAAGCTTCCAATCTTCCAGCAGAAGGGAGACGACAAATTCGTAGTGGTAATTAATAATCGACGTGGTAAGAGGAGAACACACACTAGCCGGGGCCCTCTCAGCCATAGCAGACACACCACCGCAAGTGTGGGCGATCCTAGGAGGGTGGAGGACCATCATACTACTGGAGGAGGACAAACGAGAAGCCGTGCGGCGTATGAGGAACCGAGCCAACGGCATCGACATCATGTCAGCAGATTACGTGCACATCCAGAACGAAGTGTTCCAAGCACTGGCAGTCAAAGTAGGGGCCGAGATACTTACGCACAGGCGGAACCAACCGATGGGAGCGTGGTTAGCCCAGGTGCGAGCGACCATTTTCAGCGAAGAAGAAGGTGAGGCAACTGATGGAGACGAAGAAGAAGAACACGAGGAAGCGGATGTCGAGTCTACGAAAGGGGGGATTGGATTGTAGACCGATGATTTCGACGCCTCGCTTCCCCCGAAGACACATAGTCGTTAGTTTTTTTGGTTGTTTTTTTTTGGAGAAAAAACGAGAGCAAAACGACGAAGTAGTAGTAGTAGCAGTCAGACAGACGACGTAAATGGAGTGGTTAACAAATCAGACGGCGTCTCCCTGGTTCAGTGTTCTCGTCCGGAGGTCTCTTGCGGGTAATTATTAAATCTTGATTTTGCCATTGTGGGCGAGTAGTAAAGTTCGGTGTGTGCGGATTGAGTTGTGTGCGATTTTGTGTGCGATAGAACTTGTGATTTGCCCATAATCGTTTCTGAGTCGTGTGTTCTTCTGTGTCTATTTTATATTGGCCTTCGGGTGTCGACTTGGAGTATCTGTCGGGTTAAATTTACCATGTATGGGGTGATAAGTAATTGTAGCGTCCGTGGCTTTGAGTAGTCTGAGTATCTTATTAGCCAAGTAGTAGGTATCTCCTTTGTCGTCTGTCTGTGGTTTGTTCAGCGCGGTGTTGAGTAGTACGTTATCAATAAAACTAACAGTGGTTTCTGTATCGT